CCTCGTTGTCAGAACGCCGTCGCGTCCTGTGTGCTGTACCAACCACACACACACACACACACACACACACACACACACACACACACACACACACACACACACACACACACACACACACACACACACACACACACACACACACACACACACACACACACACACAGCTTTCAGTTCAAACGGATCAGCGATGGTGGAATGCGCGCACTTGCAGTGGCTGTCAAGGACAACACCACCGTCACAAGACTCGAGTACGGGCGTGTATGTGTACATGTGGATTGCATGCGACCCGCGCCACTGAACCAGCAGCTATCGTCACGTGCACCGCCGCCATCATGCCATGTCATGTTCCTCGTGCTGCCTTCGCCCTTGTCTCATGACCAACCACCCCTACCTCCCCCTTCTCCCACCCCTCCCACCATCGTGCTTTTTGGTTGTTGGCTACAGCCTGAGCAGCAACCACATCAGCCCCGAGGGCGCTGCGGCGTTGGCACAAGGGCTGAAGCACAACAAGACCATCGCGCGGCTCAAGTGAGACTTGACACACCCCATGCATGGGAGAGAAGCGTCGTTGGCGTGTGTTGTGATTGCACAGCCCACGCCCAGTTCATGGCTGAGCGCAATGCCACGCTGTGGCACAGCACACCTGAAGCCAGTGGCTGAAGCCAGTGTGTGATGGCAGTGTGTGATGTCAGTGTCCCCTTCTACCCCCTTGCTTGCCACTCACGATCCCTCCCCCTGCTTCTCCTTTCCGTCGTTACCAATGACCACTGCGTTGCATGTTGACAGCTTGCACTGGAACTCTCTCGGTGATGTCGGCGCTGTGGCGTTGGCAGACGCGCTGACGCACAACACGGCTGTCACGCAACTCAAGTGAGCGTGGACACACAGCTGTCATTCGAGGCGGCTGCCATGCACTGTCTTTCTTGGCACCCACGTATGCGCATGTGTGATGGGTCAACAGCCCACGCCAGCAGCCGTGTTGACCTTCTCTCACCGCTCATCTCCAATTCACCACGCACGTTCGTCTCGACCTGCTGTACCCTCTGCAGGTGACAACGGCGTGCACGTCCATCGGCCTCGAGGGCACTGTGGCGTTGGCGGAGATGCTGAAGCACAACACCACGATCACGGCTCTTTTGTGAGTGACCGCCACCCACGCGCACTTGAGGGGGGGGGGGGGAGCGTCAACGCCACCATCAACAGCGCATACGTGTCCTGCTGTTGTGGTGCCAATAGCCCGAATGTGATTGTCTCTCTGATCGCACGCCTGCTCAGCCTTGTTCCGCTCACCCTGCGCCAAAATTGCATCCCCGTGCATCCCCGTCGTTGCTGCAGCTTGAGCGACAATTCCATTGGCGATGAAGGCGTTGTGGCGTTGTCGGAGATGCTGAAGCACAACATGACCATCACATACCTCGTGTGAGTGGCTGCTCAGGAACAAGAGTGTAATTGGCATGTGCCTTCCCCTCGTTGACTAATGGCCTATGAACTGTTGAAAAGTGCGCGTGTCTGCTCATGTGACGAGTGTATAGCTGCTGCTTGCTCACTGTACCCATCTATTTCTCGTCCCTCCCACCATGTGCCTTCTTTGTGTGTGTGTGTGTGTGTGTGTGTGTGTGTGTGTGTGTGTGTGTGTGTGTGTGTGTGTGTGTGTGTGTGTGTGTGTGTGTGTGTGTGTGTGTGTGTGCGACTTGCTTCTACAGCCTGGGCAACAACTCCATCGGTGATTTGGGCGCAAAGGCGTTGGCAGAGATGCTGAAGCACAACACGACCATCATGGAAATCCTGTAAGGGCTGAACCATTCAAGCAAGTGGGTGTGTGTCATTGGCTCGCGCCATCTTGTTTGCCATGACAGGGGCTTCCTGTGTTGTGTGATGGTTCGTTTGGATGCTATGGTGTGTGTCCACCGTTAGTACGGTCGTATCGTGACCATCCACTTCACTCGAGCCATTCCACTCAGCCGCCAGCAACGAAGAGCTCGGTTCGAGCCAATGTCCATTCATGCAATCCTCACTCATCACACGTTCATCTACCTGTTGCACGCAGCGTGTACACCAACTCCATTTCTCCGGTCGGAGGCGCCGCGCTGGGAGCTGTCATGGACCAGAACCGCACACTCAAATGCATTTAGTATGTCAACAGTGTCCATATGTTTGGGAGGATCACATGCCTTTCGCGCACGAAGCTGGGGCCACCACCCATGCGCACTCCACGTGGATGCGAACGTGAATAGCTGTACTCTGTTTTCGCTTGCTTGCCTTGCACGGGCGTTCGTTCTTTCTCCGCAGAACACGCAGTGCTCACCCCCAGCCTGACTCGTGCTAACACCTCCACCCAGCATCGAGAAGAACTCCCCCGCCACCGCCCGCGCGTTTGGTGCTGCGCTGCCCGTCGACCGCAACATTGACACGGGTTCCTGGTCAGTGAAGAGAGCACGACTACGCGCGCTTTGGGTTGAATTGCTGGAGTCGGTTGCCCTCTCCACTGCAACTGTATTGCATGCGTGTGTATTAGTTTGTGTCTGACCTCAATGCTTCGTGATGGGCGTGTCTCATCTCGTGTTCGACCGCAGGGACGATGATCCCGAAGGCAGAGCCGCCTACAAGGAAGCCCGTCAGGGGAAGAAGACTCAGCAACAACAGATGCTGTTCACTGCCTGCGAGAACGGTGACGTTGAGGCTGTGGCCTCACTCATTGACCAAGACCATGCTCAAGTCAGCCAACAGGACAACCAGGTGTGTGTGTGTGTGTGTGTGTGCGTGTGTGTGTGTGTGTGTGTGGTTGCTGTTTGTGAGTTTGACTGCAGCAAGCGCTGTCGCGTGCTCACCGCCTTTTCTGTGTTGCTCAATGCCACCAACCCACACAGGGCGATACGCCGCTACATGTCGCATGCAGACACAACCAACCCGCCACTGTGAAGCTGCTGTTGGATAAGGGCGCAGACACGGCCATTAAGAACAGCAAGGTGTTGCTTTTTGAGACCGTTTGTCTTCACACCACTGCAAACACCACCACCACTTCCTTATGCTGTGCGGTTCGTGTCCCCTCGCCTCACACTTGTCTCTTTCCGATGCCAGGGCAATACGCCGTACAATACAGCGGCTGTCAGCGGTCACCTTGCCCTGACCACCATTGAAGGGCTCAAGCCAGCCAATGACCAACAACAGCAACCATCATCCACTGCACCAAACACTCGTCCGACAGAGCAGGTATGTCTATTCGAAGAGGCTGTTTACTGGATTTGTCGCGTGCTTTGTTCTTTACTTGTGTGTGTGTGCGCGCGCGCGTCTCTGTCTCTGTCTGTCTGTTTCTCTCTCTCTCTCTGTGCGTGTGTGCGCGCGTCTCTCTGTGCGTGTGAGCGCGCGCGTCTCTCTGTGCGTGTGTATGTGTCTCTCTCTGTGTGTGAGTGTGTGTTGAGGCTTTCCTTCGGTCGCGGCGCCCGGCATTCAGTGCACACAAACGCACAATGCAGCAAGTTTCTCACTTTGACTTTCTTTTTGTGCTCGCAGGCACACAGAGCGGCAGTGCAGGCACGCATGATGGAGATTGCCACGCGGTTCAGCAAGCACATGGCGGGGCGAGCCAAGATTGGGCTGTCTGGCCAGGGCCGCGCGGGCAAAACGACGCTTGTGGACTCACTTTTGGGCAAAGAGTTCAACAGCCAGCAGCACTCCACGCTCGGCGCCACCAGCAAGGACATGAGTGTCACCGTCCACACCATGGAAGTATGCGATTGGAAGGTACGCTGCGCTGTGTGTTGGTGTGTGTGTGTGTTGGTGTGTATGCGTGCGTGTGTTTGTGTGTGCGTGTGTGTGTTTGTGTGTGTGTGTGTGTGTGTGTGTGTGTGTGTGTGTGTGTGTGTGTGTGTGTGTGTGTGTGTGTGTGTGTGTGTGTGTGTGTGTGTGTGTGTGTGTGTGTGTGTGTGTGTACAAGTGTGCGTTCGCAGTTACCTGACAGATCTGGCACATCTTCGCCACTTAGCGTTTCAACCACACACACTCACACACACACATCAACACAGGAAAGCGAAGAGCGTGGGACCGAATTTATGCGCAGTCTCTATGGGACAGCCATGGCACAGGAATCGGGCGTGGACAAGGAAATGGAGAAGGCAGTGACAACGGTGCATGCAAAGCTCTCCGCTGGTGTCGTCGAAGACGAGGAGCCCGCGGCTCGGCTGGTGAAGAATGACAGCACGACGGGACGCAGCACACGCCCTTCCCAGACCCCTTCCTCGAGGACCGCATCTACCACGACGCCATCCACAGCATCAATTTCTCGGCCTGTGTCCCCGCGCCTGGTGCATGTCACCGCAGCACCAGCGGTGGAGCGCCAGCCCGGACAACAGGCACGCAGCAGTGATCAAGGTGACGACGACACTGACGCGCCCGACAATGCGGCCACCCCATCCATTTCGGAGGAGGAGGTGGAGAAGGCAATCAAGGACTTTGATTTTGACGCAACACTTGGCGAGGGCAAGACACAGGTCTCGTTCAAGATCTTCGACCTGGGCGGCCAGTCCACCTTCTACATCTTCCACCCTTTCTTCCTCACCAAGTGAGTGGGATGTATTTGTATGTGCTCTGTGTGTGTGTGTGTGTGCTCTGTGTGTGTATGTGTGTGTGTGTGTGTGTGCTCTGTGTATGTATGTGTGTGTGTGTGCGTGTGCGTGTGTGTCGGTACGCTTGCATGTTTCCCTTCATCCGACTTCCACTCATCCCAGCCCCTCCTCACCCGACTCACCCACCCACACCTTCCTTCCATACACCCGCATCCCACCCACCAGGTACGCGGTGTACCTGCTGGTGTTCTCAATGGAGGATCTGCTGCACCAAGACAAGAGCAAGCGGGCTGAATCGTGGGAGTTTATGGAGCACTGGCTCTCCTCCCTCCACCTCCACGCCAAGGGCGCACCCGTCCTCATCATCGGCACTTTCGCTGATGTGGTCAGCAAGCGTAAGCAGCACGAGAATATTTCACGCGACATCTACAGCCGCCTTCGCCACAACCCGGCCTTTCCTGGTGTCATCCACAACGACAAGCATGGTCTGTGGTTCTGGCCCGTTGACAACACCAAGTCCATCAATGACCCCATGATCCAGGACCTGCGCCAGACCATCTCCTCCACCGCGCTGGCGCAGGAGTACGTGAGCCAGGAGGTGGCTGTGCCATACCTCCACCTCTACGACAAGCTCAACGCCATTGCCCGCGACGAGAAGCGGCCGCTGCTCACGTTTGACGAGGTGGTGAAGATTGCACGCTCGTGTGGGCTGCGCACACGTGAGGAGACGAGGGCGTGCCTACAGTTCCTACACCTGTACTCAATGGTGCTGTACTACGACACCGTGCCAGGCATGGAAGATTTCGTGATCCTGAGTCCGCAGTGGGCGGTGGACACGATGACGCGCGTCATCCGCAACTTTGACCTGCATCGCGATGTGCGGGATGGCGAGGCAAGGGCCGTTGGCGCGCAGCTGTGGGACGACCTCGTTGACCGCGGCATCCTACACCGTCGCCTGCTGGGAGTGCTGTGGAACGACGTGCACAGCAACTTGGTGATGCCTTTCCTGCGGCTCATGATGCAGTACGGGCTGTGCATTGAGTATTCCCCACCCAAGCTGGTGGACAGCCGCAGAGCACTCGCCCGCACCAACTCTGGCCACGGTGACAACGCTACAGCCAAGGGCAGCAAGGGCAACAGTCCTGGGCACCAGCAGTACCTGGTTCCAGCCATCCTGCCGATGACGATTCGTCACAACAGCAGCACGATGGCATCTGTGACTCTGAGCACGACGGCAGCGCAGCAGGTCAACCCGTATCTTGGGTACGAGAAGAAGACAGCGTTTGTCGCCTTCAGCCTGAAGCAGTTCAAGCAAAGTGCGAGTGTGCAAGTTGAGCACGCAAAGCACGCGTCTTTCCTGCCAGAGGGCCTGTTTACGGTTGTGTTAGCGCATGTGATGGCGCATGCACAGCACGGCGCATCGCAGGAACCCAAGCTGAGCCGCACCCACGCCATCTGCTTCATGGAGTCCACCAAGCTTGAGCTACAGCTTGTGCCGGCTGTTGGCGGCATCAAGATGAAGATCACGAGCGCGCAGCCGCGCGCCATGCTGCACATGCTGCACACCATGATCAGCGAGGCCGCCAGAGAGCGCTACCCCGAGCTGAAGAGCAGCCTGTTGCTACCGTACGACGACAAGACGCTGCTGTTCTTTGAGGATGTGCTGCACCACCACAAGCGCAAGCAGGACATGTGGGTAGACGAACAGCTGCTGTCACCCGATGACCTGATCGCCAAGTATGGCCCTCTCTTGCCCGTTCTCGGCCTGCAGGACAAGTATGACGTCTTCATCAGCTACCGGTGAGACTTGTGTGTGTGTGTGTGTGTGTGTGTGTGTGTGTGTGCATGCGTGTGTGAGTATGTGGTGTGTTCGTCGCTTCCACCCACCTACCCACCCACCACCACTGCTGCAGCACAACATTTCACCTCACATCCCCCCTTCTTCTCCCTCAACCTACACACACCACCACAGGCAACGCGCCAACAGCGGGCTGGTGATGGCGCTGCACCCGCGCTTGGAGCAGCGTAACCTGGTTGCGTTCCTGGACGCCAACAACCTGGAGACGGGCCTCAACTTCAAGTTGTCGTTCATGACGGCGATTGGGCTGAGTCTGGTGGCCTGCCCCATCGTCTCTGCTGCCACCATCATGCAGATGAGGCAGCTGCAGCACAGCGACTACTGCGACAACGTGCTGCTGGAGTGGATGACGATGCTGGCGCTGCACGAGTTCCAGCGGGCGCATGAAAAAGATGATGAGAAGGAGCAGCACGCCAAGATCCGCCTTCGCCGCGTCGTGCCTGTGTTCGTGAGCAGTGCGTGGCACAACGCGAACGACAGCAGCAGCATGAACAAGGGTGGGGCCAGTCAGTACGATTCGTTTGACAACATGAAGCGGCTGGCGATGACGCTGCCCAATGTCGTGAGCAAGGAGACAGCAACAGCACTGGACCAGTACTTTACACAAGTGCTGCACCTGCCGTCGCCACAACAACACAGGAGCGTGCGCGAGACTGTGCTGTCGCTGTTTGACATTGACGCGGTCATTGCACTGGATGCCACTGTTGATCGCACTTCACAGCTGCGCGACATTGCGGAGAAGGTGCGCCAGGTTGCCGTCTCTGCGATTAAAGGGCAGCCGTTGGCATCAGCACCACATCCTGAACCCATGCAGGTATCTGTGTTGCTCTGTGTGTTGCTGTGTGTGTGTGTGTGTGTGTGTGTGTGTGTGTGTGTGTGTGTGTGTGTGTGTGTGTGTGTGTGTGTGTGTGTGTGTGTGTGTGTGTCTCAATCACTCAAACCCCACGCGCTTTCATTTCAAGCCTTGATTTACCCGTTCTCGGCTGCTTTCACTAACGCAGCACCCTCTTCCTCGCTACTACAATCGTCATCATCGCCAGGAACAGGGTGGTGTCGAGTTTGACGAGGAGTTCAAGGCGTGGCTGTCGACCAACAAGCTGCTGCCGCACATGCATGATGCCCTGGAAGAAGTGGGCGCCGCAAACTTTGCCATGCTCGAGGTGTTGGTGGACACGGGTGTGGTTGGGGTGAACAAGCTGCAGGAGATGGGTGTTCGTGCTGGTCCCGCACATTTGTTCATGCAGCGCTTCCAGGAGCATCGCGCAGCCGCCAACGCCGCAAAGCAGAGCTGCTGTTGCCTGCTCATGTGAGGAGTTCCCGTCAATACTATGTCGTGATGAAGTGAATTCATGCTGCGTTTCCGTTGATGAGAATACACGTAATGTGACCACACCAACAAAGTGATCCAGTCATGATTCACACACACACACGCGCACACACACACACACATACACACGCACACACACACACACACACACACACACACACACACACACACACACACACACACACACACACACACACACACACACACGTACACACACACACACGCGCGCGCGCGCACTTTGCCGGCTGTGTCATGTGTTCACTCTTGTCTTCAACAGCACGAGTGCTTGTGACACTGCCGAAAGCCCCCCCCCCCTCCTTTGGTGTCACACCCATTCCACCCCTCAAGCCCAGTCGGGCTTCTGGTGCAGTTGCCTAAGCATCCTTTACTAACGATAGACTGTGTTTGAAGAACTCGTACACGGACCAGGAGATGGCTGCAGCCGGCGTCGCTGCAATCACGCGCGCCGTAACGCCTCGGAAGAAGCCTGCATATCCAAGCTCGGCGTGGATGGCCCTCCACGCAACGACGATGCCCATGAGGTACCGCGAGCTTGTGTGTGTCAGCTCTGCGCTCGCCTGCGCGCCTTTGCACAGCTCCTGTGTGTTGAGGTACGTCTTTGCCACGTCCATTGGGGTGGTGATGGCGGCGGCAGTGGCGCCCGCGAGTGCACCCGCCAGCAGGTGAGCGGTTGGATTGTACTGCCCGGTGGGGTTGAGGTAGCGGCGCGACGACTCGTACGTCACAAGATACGTGCACTGGAAGGGGATGTTCATCAGCAGCTGCGTCGTGAACGATCTGTTTGTGGTTTGCGGTTAAGCGACGAGGGGGGGCAAGGAAACCGAGGCACATGAGTACGCGATGCGCACACAAGAGAGACAACGTTTGCGTGCGTGCGTGCGTGTATGTGTATGTGTGTGTATGTGTATGTGTGTGTATGTGTGTATGTGTGTGTATGTGTGTGCGTGTGTGTGAATGCATGAGGAAAGCAGCATCCACAGTCCTCACCTGTAGAATGCGCCGATTCCCTCGTTCACGGCCACCGCCTTGATGCACTGGAAGATGCTTGTGTAAGGGCTCTGGAACATTTGCATCCGTTGCTTCACCACTGACAAGCAGAAGCATACACGTGGTTGTGTGTATGTGTAATGTGTATGTGTATGTGTATGTGTATGTGCGTGTGTGCATGTGTGCGTGTGTGATTATGATTCGGTTAAGACAGGGATGACGATGATGGGCTCAGCACTTCCATGCGTGCTTGCATATCAAACACACCTTCAACGGGGTTCATGAATGCGTCGTGGGCAAACGCAGCACAAACGGCGGCAGAGGCTGCGGGAGCGAACAGTGTTGGCGTAAGATGAGCGAGCACTCCACACAGATACAAAACGAGACAGACACAGGCACACATGCACAGCAAGAGACGGGCAAACGTGTACACATGGGCACATGGACACACACACACACACACACACACACACACACACACACACACACACACACACACACACACACACACACACACGCACACACACACACACACACACCTGTTGCTGCAGGTTTTGAGCCGTCGGCGTGGACGGCCTTCTTCGCGCGCTCATAGACGCTGAAGTAGAGCGCATGCGCCGGACCAGCGCCAAGTAACACGGCGTTGATCCCTGTACGAAATCCCGCGCCCATGTCGGTGAATGCGTCAGTCGGTTGAAGTGTGTCCGCAGAATGCCAAACGATAGGCAGGGAGAGGCAGAGACGGGAAGGTGGACGGATAAACAGCAGACAGGGGAGGACAAGACACAGACACAGACACAAAGACAGAAAAGGACAGTCACACACGCACACACTTTAACACAGACACAGACAGACAGACACAGACACACACACAGACAGACAGACACACACACACACACACAGACACACACACACACACACACGCACACTTTAACGCAGATACACAGCCACCCTCACCTCTGAACAGCGAGGTCGTTCCTTCTGTCCTGATCATGGTGGACATGCAGTGCGCCATGCCCTTGTATGTTCCTCCAGGATGCGGGTTCACCTTCTGAAGCCTCGTCTGCAAGTGTGCGTGCATGTGTGCATGCACGTGTGCATATGACAAACAGGGTCAGTGTGCTTTGTGTACAACGGCTGCCTCCTCCAAAACACACACACACACACACACACACACGCACACACACGCACACACGCACACACGCACGCACACACACACACAGACGCGCGGTGTTTCGATGCGTAGCTTACCTTGACCACGTCAAAAGGATACATGGCTGTGTGCTCGAGCATGCCCGCGGCCGCACCTACAAGCATCGCATCAGTACCAGTGAGATGAAGAGATAGCAACAAGCACTTCCACAAGCAAAGGAGCAGGAGTAGGCTCCACAACTTTACATCTCACAGACAGACAGACAGGCAGACACGCAGACGGGCAGGCAGGCAGACATACACGCAGGCAGACACACACACAAACACACACACACACACACACACACACACACACACACACAACACACACAAACACACACAAACACACACACACACACACACACCCACACACACACAACACACACACACACACACACACACACACACACACACACACACACACACACACACACACACACACACACACACACACACACACACACACACACACACACACACACACACACACAACACGCCACAACACGCCCACCAACCTGCGACCATGTGGATGGCTGGCCCTGCTGTTGGTGGCAGAGACTCGTACTCGTCATCTTCCATTCTGTGCGGTGATGGCGACTGTTCTGCTGGCTGTTCTACGACGTCACGCACCGCTACTTGCTCCAGCGTGCCTGCGTCCTTCTCGCCTGCCCTCGTCGGTGTTGTGGCGTCACGTGGCGAGAGCGATTTGTGGGCGCAAAACTGCAACAAACGTGCAACACGCAGTGATGATGATGATGATGAGGATGATGATGATGATGGACGATGAGCTCACAGCTGCCGCTTGCTGTTTGCTTTTGCTGCTTGCGTTGCTTGTGCCAGCCCCCCTCCCCTTGCCGCATGCACGCATGCTCAACTGACGCTTTTGATTGATCAAGGAACCACATGCACAAGGGGAAGCAGGCCAGACGACACGATAGGGAGCACAGGACAACCAACGAGCAGCAAGCAAGCAAGTCAGGCAACAAGCCGCAACACGAACAATCAAAGGAAGGGATGATGTGACACATGACTGCATGGTTTTCTGCAGGAAGTGAAGTGAACACACACACACACACACACACACACACACACACACACACACACACACACACACACACACACACACACACACACACTCACAACAGACAGCGGCCACCAAAGAAAACAACTGGCAACACCAGACAGAACAGGACGTTCACGTTATCAAAGAGCCAAGTACTTGGCCACGCACCACGACCATGGCACAGACCGCTGCAGTACAACAACACGAGCGCACGACACCACGTGAGCACCAATGTCCCGTCACTTGAGGAAGGCGGCGACGACGGCCCAGAGAATCTCGCATGCGTTTGGTTTTGTTGCCTCGACCTCTGGATCAAGATCAAGCAGCTCCCGCACGCGCCGCATCGCAAGCTCGTAGTCCTCGTCAGACAGCGGCGCAAACGCGTTCTCCAGCACGTCCGAGGCGTGGGCCATGTACACCAGCGCCAGGGTGCGCTTGTCCATGCGGCTGGCGTCGTTCTGCCACTTGGAGAGCACCGCATCCTGCACCTTCTTCACCACGCGCTCCTTGGCCGTCGTGTCTGTCACGGGGTGGGTCGTCATGTCAAACAGGAGAAAGTTCTGCTTCTCCGTTGTCAGCACGCCCTTCTCCACCAGATTCTTGGCCAGTCGCTCCCGCACGTTGCGCAGCTGGTACTTGAGCTTCAGCGGGTTCCACGTCTCTCCACTCAACAGCTCAACCCAGTCCTGCACTGTCTCCCCAGGGTGTGTCGTTCTCAGGTGCCTGATGAACAGCAGTTTGCGTGCGTGTGCGTGTGTGTGTGTGTGTGTGTGTGTGTCGGGGGTTGGTGGGACAATGGGGGTGTGGCATTGTGTGCGCAGCAGTTAGACATGAACAATGACCGTTCTCAACGCCCAGATCCTCCCTCATCTTTCCTTCCACACACGCATATGTGCGCGCACAGACACAGACACACGCACGCACGCATGCACAGACACACACACACACACATACACATACACATACACATACACACACATACAAATCTCCCGCAAGCCTCCACTGACTTGAGTGCTTCGTCGAGGATCACATCGCCGGTTGGACGCTCGCCCTTTGGCGTGACGACAACTTTTCGGGAGGAGATGGAGCGACGGCGCATGCCTGTGTCTTCCAACTCGGCCTTTCCACGCAGCCCAAGCTCAATGAGCATGCACCCGCGAAGCCCAGACGAAATGCAGTCGTTCCAAAACGATGTGTAACCCTCCTTGTCCTTGATGCCAAGAAGCAACACCTCCTCCATCAGCGTCAAGCGCGTGTGCTTCGTGCTGTCGTCGTCATCTTCAAACAGATCCGCCTCTGGGTCGTCTCTCACAGACCGCTCAGGTACGTCCTGTCGCTTCACCGTTGTCGCCGTGCGGCGTTGCAAAGTCGATCGTTGCGCCATGACTGTTTGCGCGAACACGCACACCAGCAAGGAAGGAGGTGAGGAGGAGGGGGAGGATTGTACGTGAGCATCGCGGTGAGCATGGTCGTGGGCGAAACTACATGTCACAAGGAAAGAGGCGCGGGTCAGGGGGGGGGAGGGAGAGAGAGAGAGAGAGAGAGAGAGAGAGAGAGAGAGAGAGAGAGAGAGAGAGAGAGAGAGAGAGAGAGAGAGAGAGAGAGAGAGAGAGAGAGAGAGAGAGAGAGAGAGAGAGACTCACACACACACACACACGATCACTTACACACACACACACACGCTCACACACACACCCGGACGGAGTAAACGCTCCCGCATTACAAGCGAGTGAGCTTGCATGCATGGATGTGGAGCACTTGGTTACATCACAGCGCAAACAACAACACATTTTCCGCCCACAGCACAACGCACAACGTACAACGCACACCTGGTTTTGCGTTGCGTGAAACAGAAACGGTGGGTCACCACTGCAGGTAACAAAATGTCCCTTCTCCTTTCACTCACATGCACACAAACACACACGCTGTCTCTGCTGGCTCACGGAATGGGGGTGCTTCACTCCTCCTCCTTGTTCGTCGTGTGTGTGTATGAGAGCGGTGTGCGTGTTTGTGTGTCAACGATTGGCTCAGCTGGTCGACGAGAGTTCTTCCGTTTCCGAGAGGGTAACGAACAATGTTGGATATCATTCGCCAGGTTTCGTGCCGAGGCAGCAAGCGACGATGGCGGAGCAGTTGCTGCACACCGCCAATGGTCGTGGTGACGGTGGTGATGGGAGCGATGGGGTCAGTGGTGTGGCTGAGATGAACAAGGCCATCCAGGCATTTGTCACAGAGGTACCATGCATGTGCCTGATTGTTTTGCGCTGTGGGCTGTTGCATTCTTGCGTGTCGGGTTGCTGTGATGTGAGTGAGTGGGTGGGTGAGTGAGTGAGTGAGTGAGTGAGTGGGTGAGTGAGTGGGTGAGTGGGTGAGTGGGTGGGTGAGTGAGTGAGTGAGTGAGTGAGTGAGTGAGTGAGTGAGTGAGTGAGTGAGTGAGACAGTGAGTGAGTGAGTGGGTGAGTGGGTGAGAGGGTGGGTGGGTGAGTGAGTGAGTGAGTGAGTGAGTGAGTGAGTGAGTGAGTGAGTGAGTGAGTGAGTGAGTGAGTGTGTGTGTGTATGTGTATGTGTGTGTGTGTGGTGTGTTGGCGGTTGACACCCATCCATGCACGCACTCCATGCACTCACTCCACGCACGCATTTCATGCACTCACTCCACGCACGCACCTCACGCTCCCACTCCATCTGTGTTGAACAGCATAATGGCACGCCGTCGCTGCTTGCAGCTGGGGTGTCAGAGGCACAAAAGACACGTCTGGTACAGCTTCTCATCGACTGCGCTTCGCAACATGGCTACGACATCACAACGACATGGTCTGCACTCAGGTACTGGCGAATGTACCCTCTTCACATCAGTGAATCCACGAATCAGCACCGAGCTTCACCCACGCCAGCTCTCGCTCACAGCCATAGCCAGACCCATGTCTTTATTCTTGCTTCCTCACCCCCCCATTCCACCCACCTGCCTCCTCCCTTTGTTCCCTCGGTGCAGAATATGCAGCCGCGATCCGCAAGGAATGGGGCCTGTGCTCACGCAGACGGGCCTGCAAACACTCTTATCCTGCGTTGAGGAGCACCATGAAGCAGGTACCTCAAACACCAAGCACCAAGCACCAAGCACCAAGCACCAAGCAATGCTCTCCATGCACTCACTGCGATTTGCTCATGGCGTATACCTCACACCCACTCACACCGTTGCTCCCACACTGCTGCTCCCACACTGAGCACCCGTACTGCCGCTCTGCGTCGCGTATCTCTTGTCCTGCGGTAGAGTGTCTGAAGGTCCTGATCAACCTGGCCATCACCAGCCCAGGTTTGCTGCAACCGCTCGTGGCACACCTCAAGGTCAGCACATCCACGTTGGTGTCTCGATGCCAATCCTCTTTCTTGCTCGCGCGTTCCTTGCATCCACACACATGAATGTCGCAGGCACATGCGCAGACAAAAGTGCACACACACACACACACACACACACACACACACACACACGTGTCTACAACTGCCTTGATTATTGCTCACATGTACACACTGCACAGGTGCTTGAAGTCTTGGAGCGAACGGCCGCCAATGTGAGCGCCCCATCTGGCAGCGAATCAGCAGCCGCATTCGCGGTCAGTGACACGCTCATGTGCTTGCACCTCCTCGCTGGTTTGCTGTTGTCGCTGCTGCAGGTGCACCTTTGGCGCCGTTGATCCTCATCAAACTGACGTGTGTCACAAATGCCGCAACATGCCTGCAGCCACTGCTGATGAAGGCAATATTTGTGCTGCTGGCCAGCTATCCACCCCTCCACCACGAGCTCATGTCCTTGAATCGACTGCAGCCATTTGTTGACACTGTCACCACACACACCACAACCCAGCCCGACTTTGCTGCTGAAGTGCGCTCTGTGTGTGTGTGTGTGCCGATGTGTGTGTGTGTGTGTGTGCGTGTGCATGTATGTGTGTGCCGATGTGTGTGTGTGCCTATGTGTGTGCCGATGTGTGTGAACCTTGTGGCGTTTGTGTGATGTCCCCCCAGCTGCTTCACATGCTCACTGTTCGCATGGACAATGCCATGTTACACGTGCACCAGGCGTTGAAGGTGTTGTTCGTGGTGTGCAGCGGGTGGTGGAAAACAGCACCGCTGGACCCGCCACTCATCGCCACCATCTCCGCCATCACCGCGTCGCTGGCGCCATGGCTATGGCACGCCATCCGCTCGTCCCCGCTGCGGGCGCCGCTGCTCAGGGCCGCGCTCGAGTTTCTCGTCGCCGTCCCGCCACCCTGTCTCCCCGCCGTGTGCGGCCACCAGGTGTGTCTCCGTGCTTGCTTGCTTGCATGCTGTACACTGTCCCAACCTCAACGCTTGTCATGCAACTCAAACCTTGTTCCTTTTTCACTCACTTTACACACACATGCACACACACGCACATGCACGCATACACACACACACACACACACACACACACACACACACACACACACACACACACACACACACACACACTCACACACACACGCACACACATACCCACACCTCCTCTCCGCGTTGGTGCCATCCCCAAAAGCAGTGAGGACGACGACGTCGACCGCGGTGTTGATCCGATCAGCGGCCGGCGCGCCACACGTGAGCCCGTGCAGTGGTCGAGCGAGGAGGAGAAGGAACGCACGTAAGTCTTGCCATGGGCGCTCACCTCATGCATGCATGTGGTGTTGTGCTTGCGTTCATGATGATGTATTGACGCGCTTCTCTCAACACAACACGCCATCTCCCACCCCTCCATATCTGCTGCTGCCATCAAGGGCCCACGAGCTGCTGTCGCTGATTGACCGCCTGAACAAGTTGGGCGTGATCAGATGCAACCTGCCCCACCCAGATGACATGCCCGATGCTGGTGGTGATGATGGCGATGGCGACGGTGATGGTGAAGAGGGAGGCTTGTCGTCTTCATAACTAACGTGACACAACGTGAACTGGTTTCCGTCTCTCTTGTAAACAACCACCCAACATCCTGATTTCTGTTTAATTGCCACAGACAAGCATTTGTGCGTGTATGTGAATGTGTGTTGCTGCGTATGCACGACAGTGTTGAGAAAGAAAGGAAGAAAAGGATGGACAGCTATCAAACAGCAAAGCAAACGCAGATGTGACGAGACGCGTATGAACCAACACCATCAACAACACTGCCAAGAGAAACACACGCGTGCAGCCTCTTGTTGGATGGCCATCAGAACTTGAACTTCTTTGATTTGTCGTCCTTGCGGTCCTGCTGCTTCTTCCGCTTTGCTTTCGTCTTGGCCTGTGCGGGTGACGGGAAGAGTTGGCAAAGGTGAGCCACGGGATGGTACAGAAAAGCAAAGAAGTGAACATGCACAAGAACAATACACCCAAAAACGCATCTCATGCCAAGTACACATGCACACACACACACACACACACACACACACACACACACACACACACACACACACACCTGGTGCTCTGCGACCATGTCGCTAAAGTCCTCGCGCTGAGCGGCGCGTGCCTGTGCGGCCGATGCGTACGCGGCGTCGAGTCGCGTCTTGTCCAGGTGCTCCAGCTCCTCCGGGTTGTCGATGGAGATGTCAACACCACCACCGCCGGGACCGGCACTGCGGCCGGCAGCGCGGTCGAGCGGCGATGTGCCGGGCTGTGCGGCGGTGATGTCGTACACGTGCGCCGACCCCATCCGCTCCTGGCCAACCTGTTCAGACGTGGAGCACACGTGCGACGGGGGTTAGACAAAGTACATCAGCATGTGAGCATGTCAAGCAGCAAACAAAACAGCAAGTACAGCAACGTCCTATGCATGATCACACAAGCGCGCAAGTGAAGCAAGCAAACGTACTGCTGTGTCCTTTTGCGGGATAATCTTGTAGAGCGTCGGTTGTTCCCTGCACGCACAACGCCAAGGAAAGGACGTGAGCACCATGGTATTGCAATGAAGCAAAAACAGCACACACACAGCACACACACACACACAGCACACACACACACACGCAAGACGGCATGTTGGTGGGGGCTCACGTCTGCTCCATGGCCTCCTCGATGGACTTCTTCCTGAGATCGAGCGCCTCGGGGGTGCTGACACCGATGGACGAGATGCCGCTCGGCGCCTCAGACCTGGTGGGCAAAGAGGGGGGACGGGTATGAATAGGGGTTCGAGGGTACCGTTGAATTGCATACGAACATCGGGGCGAGGAGAAGCAGGCGCGCGCACATGCACACACATGTGCACAAGCATGCACAACAACAACAACAACAACAACAACAACAACAACAACAACAACAACAACAACAACAACAACAACAACAACAACAACAACAACAACAACAACAACAACAACAACAACACCAACAACAACAACAACAACAACAACAACACACACACACACACACACACCAAAACAAAACAAAAAAGCACATGCAAACATACAAACAAACGCACACGCACAAACAAACGCACACGCATACGCATACGTACGCAGACGCAACGCATGCACACTGCAGCATTGGGTCTGGGCGCGACTTACACAGTGCCGCTTGGCGTCCTGAATCCGAGGGGCTCCTCCTCCTCCTCTTCTTCGCTGCTCTCTTCCTCCTCGCTCTCGCTCTCGCTCTCTTCGCTCTCAATCTTTCCCCACGGCGCCTTCTCCACATCCGCCTCCCACGCCGCCTCCTGTGCACCGAGCAGCGAGCGAACACAGCACAAGTCAGTCAGCACGCAAACAGCAACAGAGACGGGAATTCAGCGCACTCACTCCCAACCCACCTCTACCACTACCACCACCACCACTGCCGCTACTGAACACCAACATGCCACGCCCCTCCCCCATGTGCTTACGTTGAAGGCCTGTGCGTCTGTGCCAAAGGCGTCACCGTAGAGCGGGTTGCCGTGCTCGTCCACGGGCGGCTTGCCCCAGTTGCCCGGCTCGTACCCGTACGATGCACCCTGTCAAGCACACGCGGGTTGTCGTGTCAGGCATGGTTATCATACACGTGAGTGTTGGCAAAGCCTACGACAGCTGCAGCCGTACAGAGAGCAATGGTCTTGCACCAACGCTCAACACAGCGGCCGCGCGATGGAGGCGCAACAGACCGGCGGAATCGGGGCGTTGAGTCCGGGGATCTTGAGGTTTGGATACGACGGCGGGGGCCCAAAGCGCTGCATGTGCAGCAGCCATGGCGGCGGCACAGGCTTGGCAGACTGCACAGAGACCCGACAAGGAGGGGGGGGGGAACCATGTGGACACGTGACAATGAGAGAGAGGGTGTGTGTCAATAAGTGAGTGTGTGTGTGTAAATGAGTGCGTGTGTTTATGCACTGAGTATGCACATGTGTGCGTGTGTGCTTGTGTGCTGCGTGTGTGCATGTGTGTGTTTGTGTATTGCGTGTGTGCGTGGGCACGATGGATGAGGCAGCTTCACGGCTGCGCACCGGGTCTGTTGGCATGCCGAGGGCCTCGCGCAGTTCGGCAGAGAGATCGCCAGGCTTGCGGTCCGGAACCGCCGTCTCAAGCTCCTGCAGGCAGCGATGGCGGTGGTGATGATGAGGAGAACAAGTCGACGAGAGGGGAGGGGGTTGGGTGGTTGAGGTGAGGAATGGGAGAACTAAGGGAGGGGGGAGTGGTGGAGGAAACAAGCATAAATAGCATACACACACATACACTCGCTCACACACTCACTCACACACACACATACACTCGCTCACACACTCACTCACACACACACACACACACACTCGCTCACACTCGCCCACACGCACATACACACACGTACACACGTAGAGCGCGCACCTTGGATTCGTAGTAGATGTCGCCGTGAATGGACATCTTTGGTTTGGTCTGCCAGCGGAAGAACGCGTCGTGCAACTTCTGGTAGTCGAGATCCATCTTGCCCATCTTCGGTCGCACCTGCACAGACAGACAGACAGACAGACAGACAGACAGACAGACAGACACACACACACAGACACACACACAGTGATTAATGTCATCACAAGGACAGTGGTGAGACGCACGGCGCTGGTGATGGTAATTGTGATGATGATGATGAGGATGTATGACTGACAGCAGGTACCAGAGAATTGAAGCTCAACACATGGGTTTACCTTCTCGCGCATCTTTGCCTTGAGCCCCTGCGCTTCCTCCTTTTCGTTCAGGGCTTCGCGCATCTCCGTAATGCCTGGCACAGTGATGCAAGGGCAGGCGGTGGGGATTAATGAAAGGTCAGCGAACAGAAAAAGAGACGCGATCAGGATGATGTTCATTTTCACACACGCACACTACACACACACACACACACACACACACACACACACACACACACACACACACACACACACAACGCGCACACACACACAACGCACACGTTTTGACTCTTACTCACCAGTCTGCTTGATAAAGTCTGGGAGGTCAAACGGCGGCTTTTCAATACCGCGTTTGCCCTGCACACATGCACGCGACGACGCAGCAGCGAGCAGCAGTCAGCACCGAGCAGATGCACCGTGGGACACATGCACGCGCACACACATGCACGCACACACACATGCATACACACACACACACAAAATCAGGCTGCGACACAGTGTCAAGGCAGGAGCAGGCATGCTGACGCGGGGCTAAGCGCAGACCTGCAGGTATTTGCGCTTGTTGCACCAGTGGCGTGGCACAGGCACTGTGTTGCGGGTCGCCTGGCAAATGAGATGCGTAGATTGAGGTGAGATGTGGATACAAAGCATTGGGTCATCGGTGGTGCGCACACGCGTTGACTGGTGCACAAAACAGCGAAAAGAGATGACGCCACAGCCAGACACATACAAAGCTGGCAATCCACCCACAATGACACACACACACTCACCCACACACACACACACACACACACACACACACACACCTTGAGCTGGATGAGGGTCTTTGGGTCTGCAGAGTTGACGTCGTGCATCTCGACAACATCTGGTCGGTCCACCACCTGCTTGAGCTGAGCAACGGTGAGGCGGTTCATCTTGCGCAGCTTCTTCTTCGACAGCAGCTGCTGCTCTTCCTCATCCTCCACAAACCGCACAGCGTCGCCCTCAATCACAGGCGCGCTCGCAGTGATCTTCTTTGGCTCTGCTGCGGCATCCTCGTCCTCCTCGCGGAACTACACGATGATCAACACAGAGCAGCAGCATGGGTGGCGAGGCAATAATGAGCGACCACTCCACAAGCATGCAATACTTGATACGAACAGAAAAGCAGACACAGACACACACAGTCACACATACACACACACGCACAATCGAATACACACAGATGCATATAATAGTACCTTGAATGCTTCGAAGACACCGGCAAACTCTGCAGCGGAAGGATCCTCAACCTTCAGCTCCTCGGGAACATACCTGACAAGCAAACAAGCCAGAACACACACGCACACATCACCGCATATGAGTCACACACACACGCACGAGCACGCACCATCATACACGATCACATACAATACACACACACAACACATACACAATACACACACAACACGACCACAAACGAGCACTCCCCAACACTCACTCGACGTCAAGCGCCTTTGTGTCCAGCTGCTCCTCCTGTTTTGGCGTGGCTGTTGTGTCGTTTGCTTGCTTCGAAGCGGCTGCTGCTGCTGCTGATGCCTCCTTGTTGTTGTTTGCAGCTGCCCCGTTCGCTTGTGCTGCAGCTTGCTTGGCCGCCTTCTTCTTCTTCTTTTTCTTCTTCTTGCCATCAGCGCGACGCAACACCTTGCCATTCACCACTTTATCCTCCCTCTTGACATGGTTGTTGCTGTTGCTGTTGCTGGTGCTGTTGGTTTGCTTTGTCGCGCCACCTGCGCTCACCTTCGTGGCGGTCTCTGCCACCACCCCGTTCTCTTCCTCCTTGACCATGGCTGCTCGCCCACCTGCTCAAACACACCGCAGCAGCAGTAGCAGTGTTGCCTCAAAAGCCTCGTGCAATCACAGCAGCACCTCAATCGAAGCAGAAGCGAGAACGTCCGTCGTCGTCGTTCGTCTGCGCAGCCACCACGACAGAGGAAAACTGTCTGGAAATGTACACAATTTTCACCGCTGACACACAAGCAAGCAAGCAAGACAAGAAGACAACGAGAGGAGAAGAAGAGCAGCGAGAAACCGTGAGCTGCTGTGTGCTCGGGTGTGTGTGTGTGTGTGTGTGTGTGTGTGTGTGTGACCGACCAAGCTCAACGAGCAAGTACGGACGATGGCTGACGAGGAGCAGCAAGAGGTGCGACAGGACCAGCAGGAGCAGCAGCAGCAGCAGCAGGATGCTGGAGGGGAAGGCAAGCAGGTGAAGAGCAAGAGCAAGAAGAACAAGAAGAACAAGAAGAACAAGCAAGACAAGCAGCAGGCAGAGACGGCGGAAGTGGAGACGTCCACAGACCAGGTTGATCTGCAGGACGACAATGACGATGGCAATGACGACGACGGCGATGACAATGCGCAAAGCGGGAACACCGGGGGTAAAACCAGTGGAAACGACGACGCACAGCCTGCTGATGACGACGATGGTGACATGCCTTTGCCAGAAGCAGACACACGCGCCCAGGTATCCCTGGTGTTGGCAGGAGAAGCGCGCGGTTATCGTGCTGACAGCACATCTTCTTTCGCTGGTGGTGCTGGCATGCATTGAGAGGGCGGCTTGTGCATGCATGCTTTGACTTACTTGGCCTTGTATGTTCACCTTCACGACCCGTGTGTTTCATGCCCAGGGCGGAGAAGCATCTGCCGAAGACCAGGAGCAGTCGCAGCGCAAGCCGCCACAAGTCGTGCAGTCCATCTGTAAGTGCATCCGTGCTATTGTCACAGCTGGCGCTGGGAGTGCACGCATGCTATGGGTGGTTGTCAAATACGCTTTCACATTGTTACCTTCTCACATGCACGCATACATTCATGCAAACTCACACACATTCACACATGCACGCATACATGCACGCATACATTCATGCAAACTCATTCACACATCCACGCACGCATCCACGCACACATCCATACCGACACATCCACATCCTCACACACGCCCACACACTTTCGGCACAGCGTCGTGGTGGTCGAAAAAGGCCAAGCCCAACCTGATGCACCTGAAAGATGACGTGTCACGTGAACTGACCGACAGCGGGCGCAAGCTGCGCATCCTCCGGCAGCGTTTCAACGAGTCGCTTGGCTACGGCGACCGCACCGTCGACCTTGAGCTTCAGGTGTGGTGTTGTTGTGCACATTGTTGTCCGCATCCCTCGTGTGCCATATTCCTGTATTCCTCGTGTGCTATATATTTCTATCTCATGTCCTGTCCGTGTGTGCTTGCAGCCGCGCATCGAAATGCTTCTGAAGCGGCAGAAGCAGTACCACGCAATGGCCGAGCATGTGCGCCATCTCATTGCCACCGTACGCGAGGCAGCGAAGGTGCAGGCTGGCCTGGGCAGCTGCATGGCTGCCATCGCCGATCTGGAGACAGACCTCGCACCACACTTCTCCTCCGCCAGCCGCATGCAGGTTAGCAAGCACTTGGGAGGGGGGAAGGGGAGGGACAAGGTCGGGTTGGGCAGTCGGTGCATCGTGTGTGTGTGTGTGTGTGTGTGTGTGTGTGTGTGTGTGCTTTGCTGTGTGTGTTTGTGTGTGTGTGCTTTGCTGTGTGTGTTTGTGTGTGTGTGCTTTGCTGTGTGTATTGTTTGCTCTGTATGTGTGCATGTCTGCACAGTTTGCACCTGATCCTTTCGCGTCCTGCTCACCCTGCATCTTGCCACTGCAACCCCTCTCCTTCCCGGTCAATCACTACCATTTCTGCAGGACAGCATGTCTGGGCAGGCGGGCCCGCTGGTGGAGGCGCTCGAGTTCTTCCGCACACAGACGCTTGGTGTGGCGGATGGGCTGGCCGGAAATGCCCTGCACCTCATCCAGCAACACAACAGCGCCCGCTTGGAGTACGACGCATTCCGTTCGGTGAGGGCGTTGTCGGCTGTTGGTGTGCTCTGCGTGTGTTGTGTGTGTGTGTGTGTTGTGTATGTGTGTGTTTCTGCGTGTAAGTGTGCGTGTGTGTGTGTGTGTGTGTGTGCTTGCGTTTGTAATCACATGCGTTCGTTCGTGTCTTCCTCCATCAACTTCTCCATCCTCTGTCCACCACACCACACCCCATCACCACCTCCTCGACCAACCCGCATCCCTCCATATCCCGTGTCTTCTTCAACTCAGGCGTATGAGAAAGCAAAGGCGCAGCACTCCCCGCGCACGCCCGTGGCCGAGCAGAAGTTCCTCGAGTCGTACACGCGTCTTGATTCCCTCCGCGCTGACGTCGTTGCCGCCCTCGACCAGTTCGACTCCCAGCGGGTGCGCTGCTGCTGTTGTTTGCGGTGGTGGCAGCGGTGGTGCTGCTGCTTGGTTCCTTGTGGATTCTGCTTGTGCGTGCACCCTTCCTCCCCCCCCCCACAACACACACGCACCTACCCAAGCCACCTCTCCTTGCTCACCTTACTCTTCCCTCACACACTCTTTGCTCTCTCTGTCGGTGCAGTGCGAGGTGATGCGTTCGCAGCTGCAGGCGCTGATGACAGCTGTTGGGGCGTTTATGAGCGGCAACGATGCCGCCGTCAGCACCGCCCTCGCAGAATGCAAGCAGCACCCGGCCCCCGCTACGCCCGCACAAGGGGCAGGCGATGACACAGAGGCACCCGCGCAGCAACAAGACGCCAACAGCAGCAGCGAGTGACACCAACCTGTGGAATGTCAACCCTGTTTGCTTCTTGCCTGACGATTGCTCATGTGTGTGTGTGTGTGAGTTTTGTTTGTGTTTTCGTTTCCACACAATGAATGCATGCCAACAACAACAACAACAACAACGACGCCCAACACCACAACCGCTTTGCCTGGTGTTTTCGTTTCGGCTTGCTTGCTAGCTTGCGAGTCGCACTGTTACAAAAGCAAACGACAGCCCCGTTCGTCCATTGAGAGGGGCAGCTGAGATGGGGAGAGAGGATGAGTTGATGAAGGCCGCACAGAGCGGCAACTGCGCCGAGCTGGAGCGCCTGCTCTCAAAGCAACCAACCCCACTGTAAGTGATGGCAGTGGTGAGATGGAAGACCTGTGCATGCACAGAAGGAACGCTTGCTTGCGAAGGAAGCCTGTCCGCAACACACACACACACACACACACACACACACACACACACACACACACACACACACACACACACACACACACACACACACACACACACACACACAGGTTGAGGCGAGGGCCAACGGTGACCACGCAAGACGATGTTGGCTACACGGCCCTGCACCATGCTGCCTTGCATGGACACTACGAGGCGTGCCAGATGCTGCTGAACATGGGCAGCAACGCCAACGCTCGCGACGCCAAAGGCTGCTGTCCGCTACACCTGGCCGCTTGGAGTGGCCACGCGCGCGTCGCCCAGCTGCTCATCACGGGACGCAGCGCACAGGCCCGCGCTAGCATCAACGCCCAGGTTACCACACACATGTGTGTGCATGCGTGTGAGTGTGTGTTGCCTGCACTTGGCTGTGTGTGCATTGTTTGTACTTTCACCTGTGCATGTGCAACACACCAGCACATCAGCGTGTTTGTGAACATGTGCACGTGTGCATCCGCTGGCATCACCTCCACTCATCAAGTCCTCAACCCCTTCCCACATCAACGCTCCTTGTAGACGTTGTCTGGTGAGACGGCGCTGCATATGGCTGCACAGCACGGCAACACGGAAGTCCTCACGCTCCTACTCAAGGTACGATGGAGAGGAGACAAAGACAGGCTCAGAGTCAGAGACACGGCACATACTCACACACACTCACACACACACACACACACACACACACACACACACACACACTCACACACATGTGTGTGTGTTTAGTATGGGGCTGATGCGCTTCGCACGAACGAGATTGGCGAGACAGCCCTCGACCTCGCCGCGCAATATGGACGGACCGCAGCCGTCGTCGTCCTCCTGGTGCGCACACATGTGTGTGTGTGTGTGCATTGTTTGCACAAGCGTGCGCCCTCCAATGCCCTGCTTGCATTCTGTTCCTCACATATCTGCTAACACGATTGCGCCCCTTTGTCATGCCTCTCACCACCATCACATGTTCGCGTGCGTGTGTGCAGGAGCACAGCCCAAAGCTGCTGAGCAGCAGCGCCACAGAGCACCACACTCCGCTCCACCTCGCCGCGTGCAACGGCCACCACGAGATTGTTAACCTCCTCCTGAAACATGGTACGCTGATGTGCTGCATTGCTGATGGTCCACAGCATATAAACATGCATACACACATGTATATATCTGCATTGGTGCCGCTGCTGCTGACGCTGTTAACACCTTTGTGTCAATGACAGGGATGGATGTGAATGCCACGTGCAAGACGGGAACAGCACTTCACGAGGTGCTGCGATCCACCATGATGCAAGCGCGAATGTTTGACATACACACACACACACACACACACGCACGCACACACACACACACACACACACACACACACACACACACGCACGCACGCGCACATGAGTGCTCACGTTGCTGCGATGTTGCACAGGCTGCGCTGTACGGGCGGACGCGCGTTGTGAAAATCCTCATCGATGCCGGCGTGGACCCAACCATCACCAACGCACACGGCCAGGTGACACACACACACACACACACACACACACACACACACACACACACACACACACACACACACACACACACACACACACACACACACACACCAACCTTCCTTGCAGTGTGCTACGTTGTCTTTGCAACTCAGGGTGCTTTGCTTGCAAGCAAGGCGTCCTGTATTTGTTGCGCTCATGGCGTACTTTTTTTGTTCACGTACTCCCACTCGCACGTACCAACCCCCATCCCACCACCTCCTTGGTCAACAGACGGTGATGGACGTGCTTGAAGCGGTGCCCAAGAGCAAGACCCAGCACGTACGCGCACTCCTCAGCAACGTTGTCAAGACAGCACATGACAGCGTTCCAAAGGTGTGTGCTCCTGTGTGATCCCCTGACCACACACTCTCTTGGTCGCACATGCACCCCCTAGTCTTCCCCTTTTGTCACCACCCCCTTCCCAGTCCCTAATCACTCACCCCTTGCAACTGTGCAGGCGCGCGCGGTGATGGATTACGTGCCGAGCGTTTACGACGAGAATGCACTCGCGCTGAAGAAAGGAGATGTGGTTGTTCTGTTGGACAACAACACCAAGGGCTGGTGGCGGGGACAGGTTGGCACACGTGTCGGCGTGTTCCCCCACACTTACGTCGGTACGTATTACCTGCACAGTGGAAAGTGGTTTGAATATGCACACACGCACGCACACACACACGCACACAGAGAACTGCATACACGCACACACGCACACGCACACACACACACACACACAACTGCATACACACACAACTGCATACACACACAACTGCATACACACACACATACTTTCTCGCTCACACCTCCTCCCTCCTCACCATGAACATCTGTAGAACTGCTGCAGTCGCCCGAATCAGATGACAGCGAACACGGCGGTGATGACGAGGATCGTGCTGATGCTGAACGTACGAGCAGTGCACAGACGACAGCAGCCACAACTACAGCAACCGCTGGCAGTCCACGAAGGTATGGGACCGCTTTGCACTGCACTGCGCTGGTGTTGCACATGTCTCTCACAAAGCACACATTGACAGGCACACATTATGTACACATGCACACTAAATGGCAGCCACATTTTCATGCTTCTCATGTCAATTCTGCACCTGCTCACGTGTGCGTGTGTATGTATGTATATGTGTGTGTGTGTGCACAGAAGACTTGATCGGACGCACACAAATCCATTCCTGGCAAGCGACAGCGTTGAGATTGACACAACGCTGGCAGAGGCGGCCGCGCAGCTGTTCTTCACGGGCGGCGACGGTGGTGATGATGATGAGGAGCAGGGGGGAGAGCGAGCGAGCGACGAAGACAACCGAGGAGAAGAAGATGAAGGAGAAGAGATGAGCGAAGAGGAGCAGCTGCACCATGATGGCGATGAAGACCACGAGCAGGCGGAGGACGCGTTCATGGTCAACGGCGACAATGGCGATGGTGAAGAAGAAGCAGAGGCGGTGAGTGGCGGAGAGGACGAAGAAGAGGAGGAAGCACGTGTGGACACGGAAGACAAACCTGGCGATGACGACGTTGAGGAAGCAAGCAGCGAACAGAACCATGAAGCGAAACAAGACGACGAGGAAGACGAAGAGGAAGACCATCAGGAGGAGAAGGAAGAACACACGAAAGAGGAGGAGGAAGAAGAAGAAGACGAGGAGGGAGAGGAACAGCAAGATGCGCCCACCGCCGATGGCCCGACCAAACAGCAGCAGGAGGCGGAACACGTTGGGGGTGCAATGGCCAATGGCCGAGAGGAGGAGCAGCCAGAGCCAACACAGCGTGACGACGAAGAAGGACATGATGATGATGATGATGATGAGCACCTGGGCCGT